TTTCTCTAGCTGCCCTTTGAAATTTTCTATTCATCTCTTTTACCTCTTCATTTATTCCATTTGCTTTAGCATTTCTACATTGGAGAGCAAGTTTCAGTCTCTTCTGACATTCATTTTAGTCTTTTCCCTCTTTTTTGTTTTTTTAAGGACTTGTGCTTTCTTCCTGTGTGATATTCTTCATGTCATCCCACAACTCTTCAGGCCTTCTGTTTTTAGTGTCTAATTCATCAAATCTGCTTATGAGGTAACCTCTGAATTCAGGTGGGATATATTTTCAATGTCATTATTTTGGCTCCAGTGGACTTGTTTTAATTTTCTTCAGGTTTAGCCTGAACTTGCATATGAGCAATTGATGGTCTGTTCTACAGTTTACTCCTGATCTTGTTTTAACTGAAGATACAGAGGTTTTCTACTGTCTCTTTCCACAGATGTAGTAAATTTGATTTCTGTATATTCTATCTGGTATGGTTTGTGTATAGTCATCTTTTTTGTTGTTTTAAAAGGTATTTGTAATAAACAAGTCATTGGTCTTACAAAATTTTATCATGCAATCTCCAGCATCATTCTGTCACCAACGACCATTCCTTCCTCATTTTTCCCAACCTTGGCATTCCAAACACCAGTAATTATCAGTACATATAGATTGCATGTTTGGTTCAATTTCAGACAGAAGAAATTGGTAGAATTCTTCAATTTTATCATCACTGGCTTTAGTGATTGTTGTATAAATTTGAATAATAGTTGTATTTACTAATCTTCCTTGTAGGTGTATGGTTATTATTTTATCACAGAGAGCATTGTCCTTCAAGACGGATCTTGAAATATTCTTTTTGATGATCAAAGGGACACCATTCCTGTTTAATTTGTCATTCTCAGCATAGTAAGCCATGTAGTTGTCAGAATCAAAGTGACCAGTTCATTTCAGCTCACTTCCAATTTTCCTGGATTCATGCTTCATGGATTCCATGTTCTGATTATTAATGGATGCTTAAAACTGTTTCTCCTCATTTTGAGTAGTTCCCCATCAGCAGATGAAGATCCCGAAAGCTTTATTCCATTCACGCCATCACAGTCAGCTCTACTTTGAGGGGGTAGCTCTTCCCCAGTTACACTTTAGTGCCTCCCAACCTCTGGGCCTCATTTTCTGGTACAATACCTAACAATATTCTACAGCTCTTCATCATGTTTCAATATTCAATATTCTGGTGCCATCTGAGAGTGATCCACTGCTGTTCATAAGGGTTTCAGTGATTAAATATTTGGAAGTAGTCCCTCTCACCTCTTGAAGCTCATCTGGAACCTGTCCACCTTGAGTTACCTTGCTGGTATTTAAAATACTGGCAACATAGCTTCCAGAATCACAGCAACACGCAAGCCATCACAGTATAACACACTGACAGACGAGTTCTTAGCCATAACCTCCGAGTGTTGAGACACTGGGTTTGTGGGCCAGAGACCATCGTCTTAAGGGACTTCTAGGTCAATTGGCATAACATTGTCCATAATGTTCCACATTCTCCTTTGGTGAGTAGTGACTGGCGTATTAAGACCTTAGCAGCAGCCATCAAAGTTACAGCTGTTGGTCTTTTTCCATTTGGAGCAGAGAAGAGTGAAAAAAACCAAAGACTCAAGGAAACAACTAGTTCAAAGAACTAATGAACCACAGCCTCCACTAATCTTAGACCAGAAGAATTAGATGGTGCCTGGTTCCCACTACTAACTTCTTTGATCAGGATCACAAAGGACTGAGTAGTAGAATTTAACAAGTAAACACCTTGTCTTTAAGGAATTTAAACTTTAAAAAGTGTTGAAAAATTTTATGAATTTGAGTTTATCCAATTAAGTCCTCTGTGGACCCAGGCAGGACTTTGCATGCATGTAGACATAAAACATTAACAAGAAATTGCAAGGCATCCTTGCACCTTGGTTATGCAAGTAATTTGTTTTTGCAATATTCCAGACAAACATTTCAGCATTTATCTTACTATTTGTGTTGAGGACAGCCAATTCTTTCCTTCTTTTCTTTTTTTTTTTTTAATGTTTTATTGTGAATTATGTGATAGTTTACATGGGAGAACATTAGTTTTACATTCGTTCTATCGTATATTGTTTCATTGCCATGGCAATTCTTTCTTATAGTAGATAGATTAGACTAGGCTTCATGATATAGATTAGTTGATTTACTTAATAGTTTCATTTATGTGACTGTAATGTGGGAAAACATCATTGTCATAGTACATAACTCTATTTTTTAAAGGAAATAATGACTCTTTCTCACCAGAAATAGAATTACAGAACTAGAAGCAATCTTCAGTCTTGACTTCTGTAGCAGAAAGGCTTAGGAGTTGTAGTCATTTCACTTGGAAAAGAATTCCAAACTCCAAACCAATACCCAGACTACTTCCATCGAGTCAATTCCATCTCCTAGCAACCTTGTATACTAAAGTAGAGGTGCTCCATACGGTTTCAGTGACTATAAGTCTTACAGAAGCAGTCTCATCTGTCTCCTGTGTAATGGATTGTAAAGTTGGATCCACCGATCTTGCAGTTAGCAGCCCAACACCTAAGCCACAGCACCCTTTGGCTCCTTAGGAACAAAGTGTTGTTGCTGTTGTGTGCATAGTATTGGTTCCAACTCATAACACTCCTGGATAGGGGTTTTGAGACCAGCTGGTATATTTGAACTCCCGACCTATGGTTACCAGTCCAGTGCTTATCTTATAGCACCACACCAGGGCCTTAGAAATATAATAACTGATACAAAAGAATTCCATTATCAGGAAAATAAGAGATAAAGACCTTTTGTTTTGCTTAATCTAAGCCAGATAGATGGTTGTTATAGGTCCAGTGTAAAAGAATAACTTCCTAGTAATTAAGGAATACCAACAAATGTAATGGGCTACCTCTCACAGTTGTGAGTGCCCCATCACCAAGAGAACAAAGCCAAGATGTCGTGACTCCCTGGAGATGCTCCAGAATGGCAGGCAGAGATATTAATGTACTTCCCACATTTAATACTCTGTTATTGTGCATATAACCAGTGGGAAATAGGAACTCAATAATTCCTATCATTATGATATAATAAAAGTAAGGTTGAGACAAACTCAGTGAAAAACACTTGGTATTTTCCTCAGTTGGTAGTGACAGAACTTGCTGCAGGAAACAAAACCTGGAGGAAATAATCTTTTGCCAGAATACTGACTCATGAATAGAGAAACCACACTCTACTAGTATGAAAGAGGAGACAGAGCTCAGCCCTTACAGGCAGACATAGATTCAGAAGTCTAGTTACTGGAGGAGGTTTTTGCACATGAGGAACAGATGGCCATAAACAGGAATAAGACCCTGCCCTTTTTGCTGGTGTTCATTTTTAAGTTTTCTTTTTTTCTTTTCTGGTAAAGCGAGCAAGGTTTAATGTACATAGGATATACAAGAGACAGCGGGACTGCATGTTCTCCAAAGTGGGACTACCTCCTCATTTTTAAGTTTTCAAGAAAACATTGCTATCTCTGCTATTTTTAGTCTCTTCGAAGGACCATCCAACAAGCATCTTCTGAGTAGTTGTGAGAATTGGCAGAAACAGAACATTAATTTCAGGCTCTTTAAATATAAGGAGCAGAATGATGGGAGCACAAGCCAAAAGTTAGGTTTTAATCACTGGTCTCAGAGAAACCACGCATCCTCAGGAAATGAGTTTGCACAAAATACGTTGTATTTACTTTTTGCTGTCACTGATGCCTCTAATCCTGAGTTCTGATTGCCTTATTTTTCCTTTGTGCCTTCCATCAAGGATGTCACTGTTTGGTGACAGTGAGGGGAAATAGTTAGTGGTCCTTTACAACACTGTGGAGATGCTTGGAATCATCTTAGAAGCCAAAGGAGAAATAATAATATAACTGTAATAATTAAAAATATCTGCCATTTGTTAAGCACCTAACATGCCATATACTGTACTGTTGTTGTTCAGTGTTGTCAAGTCAGTTCGGACTCATAGTGACCCTGTGGTTAGCAGTCCAGTGCTTATCTTACGTGCCATACTAGGACTCCATATATTGTGCTGTTGCAAAGTACCATCAAGTTGGTTCTGACTCAGCATTTCTGAAGAGCAACTGGTGAGTTTGAACCACTGACCTTGTGGTTCAAACCGACCTTAAGGTTTAGTGCATTAACCTAGATGCTGAGTATTCTTAGTGAACTTAACATAGACCATTTTCTAGTAGGTTCAATTGGATACCCATGAGGTTTGAACTTGACACTAGTTTTAATGGTCTGGACTCCTGGTGTGGCGCTGTGGGTTAATGCACTGGACTGCAAAGTTGGTTTGATCTGCAAGGTTGGCACTTAACAACAACAACAACAGCTCTAACTGATGACTTATAGGTACCACAATTTGTAGGCTCCCTGCTAGCTATTGAGAGGCCTGAAAGCTTCACCTTAGGTAGAATTGTGAAGTAGCCTTAACAAGGTTAGGCATTACTCCCTTCTTCCCTACCTCTGGTTTATGATTATCAGCTAATTTTTATGGCTAGGTAACTTATTCCAGCAACAAATTTTAATGAGCTGAAGTTCTGTCAACTTCCTGTCCCCTCTTGGGTTCCTGCCAACTTGGCTTCTTTAGCTCCCAAACACTGTAAGATAAAAAGGAATCATCTATTCCACAGTGTGTTGCTTACCTCTTAGATTAGAATAACAGCATCAGCCTATCTCTTCTTGGGAGAGTCCTTCAGAAAGTTGAGTAAGATTATTAGGTAGTTCAACCTGGCCCAGTAAACCAACATCTAATTTTAAGTATGTAGCTTTGCTGGTCAGCAGTAAGTCTGCCTATTTCTGAATCTAAGCATTTAACCAGGATCTTCAGCAGGAATTGGTGAAGTGTTCTCCCTCCCATGTTGTTTTAAAAGAATGTATTTCAAATTCCAGTGTTAGCCTGTTGTATAAAGATTTATTATTTATATGACCAACCATCTTGTAATGATTTTAACATTTCTTTTTTCCCCTAGGGAAAAGTTAACCATTGGATGCCTCCAATTAGTTCAAATGGAAAATTCCATGCAGCAGTGCATTGCATCTGTATATACAGAAGCCAAACACCGGGGATGGTGTGAAGATAAACTCAACTATAGAACCTAAGTGCTAATTGTAATCTAAAGGAACTGATTTTGTCTTCACAAAGATCAGAGTATTCAAACCCAAGAGAACTGTAAGAAATGTCTCTTAGGCACAACAATTTGATTGCCTCAGTGAGGCTTTAAAGAGGAACAAAAAATACTTAATGCTTCCATTATGGGATAAATTATGGCATCAGCTTTTTTGGAGTTGACAGTACCTCCCTACCTGTACTCTTGGTAATGAGCTAGTGTCATCTGAGGAAAGGATAGCCATCTTGCCATTATTTGGGAGGCATATGTTACTGTGGCATCGGAGCATTAGTGCCTCTTTCAACCCTAAATGTGGGCATGTGACCAGAGATACTCCTAAACCTTAAGGAGTTAGGACATGAATATACTTGCCACATCAAAAACTGAAATCTTCCTTGGGCTGTTTTTATGGTCAAAACACATGTCTTCCATGTAACCTGGTAAAATTACACTGTCCGTATGGTATACCCCCTCCAAGATAATGAACGTAGAACTTTGATTTCAGCTGTAACTGATTATAGCCTCCTTTTCTCGGGGTACATCACTTTCCAGGGCATTTCTAACATGGAGGTATAGGTAGATCCCTGTGCTGAGTTTCTCCCTTTATTGTGAAGCAGCATGAATTTACTGAATTAGGTGATAGTGATTGATGTTTGCCCCTGACTAAAACCAAGTGGTCGATTGACTTTAGTTCTATTAGAAGTCCTTACTTCATATATTACACTTTTCTTTATAGGTTAGATTAAATCCAAATTGGTATTCTATTATAAATGTTCATTTTTATATATTTTTAAGCAATAAATAATTTATTTTTAGTATGATTTTGCTTTTCATTTTTTAATTTTATTTTCAAATTATTTCTGAAATGAACACATTATGAATATACATGATTCTTTCCAATAAAAAAGAACTTAATTGGAATGCTCACTGTGGTTTTGTGCAGGACCTGCTAAGCTTTATGTTTCTCAAATTAGGAAACCGTGGCAGATACTTTCATGAATAGGCGCAAACAGCATTCAAGAATAGGAGCTTTTTGTTGAAAGGGGAAGTTCCAAGAGAGTGCTCTTTTTCCTTCTCTTCACTGAGGAGCTAAAAAAAGATCCCACCATCAAAGGAACTTTCTTCAGATGCTCATCCCTCAGCTGCTTCTGCTGTTATCACCTTCACATTCCCTCCATTACCTTTTTATTGTGGGTGATAGTGATTACGTGCTGTGGTAGCGACACTGTACAGGGTTTCTGAGGCTGTAAATCTTTACGGGAGCAGAAAACCTCATCTTTCTCCTGCGGAATAGTGGGTAGTTTCGAACTGCTAGCCTTGAGGTTAGCAGCCTAACTCATAAACCACTACACTACCAGAGCTCCTTTATTAAATGTTGGCTATGCTTTTTATAAGGAGCTCTGGTAGTGTAGTGGTTACGAGTCGGGCTGCCAACCTTAAGGTCAGAAGTTCGAAACTACCAGCTGTTCCGCGGGAGAAAGATGAGGCGTTCTGCTCCTGTAAAGATTTACAGCCTCGGAAACCCTGTGCAGGGTCACTGAGTCAGAGCCGACTCCACGGTACTTAACAACAACAACAATGCTTTTTATAATTTATTTTAGTTCCAGCACCTGCATACTTTCATACGTGTGAGTTTTAATTTTTTTTTTTTAAGTTTTTGTTGTAAATTGAGTGACAGTTTACATGGGAGAACAGTGGCTTTGCACTAATCGTTTCATTGCAATGATTACAATCTCTTCCTTACATCATTATTCAACAGTATTTGCTTCTATCCCTCTGTATTGTTAAGTTTTTTCAGGGACATACACAACTCAGGAATATATAGTCATTTAGACAACTAAAGGGCACATTCTGTAAGCCTACCTCCTGGCTGCCAGCACTTTGTCCCTCTCATTCCATGAGTCTAGAGTCTTCAGGTGCTCTCTCTTTCCATGCTCTGGTGTTGCTGCTTCTCTGGATAGGGTCCCACATTCCACTCCTCTCACCTTCCTCTGAAATTCAAGGTTCTAAGATTTTCATTTGGTCTCCTGTATTTTTGTTTTAAAAGGTATGTGTAGTGCATGTGCTTAGTCCACCATCTTGTCGGAAGTCGGAACTTCATGTTTGAAAATCTCCATTCTTCTTTATATGTAGCTATTAAATTTTGGTCAAGAGTTACCATAAGCACATCATGAACCAGAAGGGACTGGTGGAATGCCACAGGAGAGGAACAACTCACTATATCTGGGAGCATCCGGCCTATGAGCCATATGTTGTTGTTGTTAAGTGCTGTCAAGTGGATTCCGACCCATAGCGACCCTTTTATGGGTCCAAGGAGCAGCTGGTGAGCTTGAACCACCACCCTTGCAGTTGAAACGACTTTGCAGTCTGACGCATTAGCCCACAGCGCCACACTAGGACTCCGTAACCCATATAAGGCCCTCAAAATCATCTGAGGCCCTGTTAAGGCAGTCGCAGTTCCAGCCATCACATTAGGGGTGAGTTAATGAAATATTTGACCAAATATAGCAGGCTAGTTTTTAAGTTGATAATTTTGTTTGGCCTGCGAATTATGTTTTGAATTTTTGCAGAAAAAAGTTCACCCACCCCTGCTCTACATAATGCCCTTGGTCTTGCCCTAATGAGGAAATGGCAATCAACTTCATGAGAAACACCCCGGAGGATTATTCCAGTCATGTTACATAGGTATTTTTGCACCATTTTACACGAGCCTTTTCTAGCTTACTTTTATAAAACAGCATCCATTTTCCTCCCTAGGATCCATTTTCATATTGTATATGTGCCACACAAATATCAAGGGGACTAAGAAATCTGAAGATGGATTTCCTAGATTGTATGATCTTAGGGGCAATCAGGGTTAATTCAGGTTTATATTTATGATGTCTTGGTCAACATTCAGAGTCTAGATCCCATTGTTCATAATCCTGACTTTTGGCAAATACTTCAGCCTGTTCAGCTATGGAAGCCCTTTTTCACCTGGGAAGTTTTTACCTATTTTTCTTAGGAAATATGGTCTTGTGTGGCACTGTAGGATAAGCACTGGACTGCTGACCTCAGGTCAGCAGGTCAAATCCACTAGCTGCTCCTCAGAAACCCTATACAGAGTTGCTTTGAATCAGAACCAACTTGATGGCACTTGTTGTTGTTAAAATGTTGTGGAGTTGTTTTCAACTCATGGTGATGCTATATAGGGTTTCCAAGGCTTTAAATATTTTGTGGGAACAGAAAGCCTCATCTTTCTCCCTTGGAGTACTTGGTGGACTCAAACTGCTGACTTTGTAGTTTGCAGTCCAGTGCTCATCCTAGGGAGCCACTGTGTTCCCCATATATATGCAAATACATGTATATGTACCCTATACATGGGGTCCTGATGTGGCGCTGTAGGAAAAACAGCAGACTGCCAGTCATAAGGTCAACAGTTCAAATCCACCAACCACTCCTCTGAAACCCTATACAAGGTCACTATGAGTTGGAACCAACTCAGTGACACTCAACATTATACATACACTTCTGAAGGAACTCTGATGGTGTAGTGAGTTAAATGTTGGATTGCTAACTGCAAGATCAATGGTTCAAATCCACCAGCCACTCTGCAGGAAAAAGATGGGGCTTTCTATTCCCCTAAAGATTTATAGCCTTGGAAGCCCTAGGAAGCTGTTCTACTCTATCATATTGTTGTTGTTAGATTGTTGTTAGGTGTCATTGAGTCAGTACCGATTGATTCATAGCGACCTTATGCACAACAGAACAAAACACTGCC